CACTCTTGTCATTTATTTTGTTATCGTTTAAGTTTTCTGATTGTCAAAATAATAATTGACCGTCATTAAAATATATGGCCGTCATTGAAATATATGACCGTGTCACAAAAATATCAGCTGACTTTTGATTTACACTGTCAATTTAACGGAGGAGATGGAAGCTGTACTTTCTAACTCATTAGATGACTTTGATGCTGATGACTGTGAAACTTAAGAAAAACTTGAGTCAACCAATCAGAAATTTGATTACTTTTAGAGAGATATCGGTGAACTGGATAACGCGTATGGACGGTAATAACGTCAAGAGTTATTTTTTTTACATAAAGCGGTATCATACTTGTCAAATTACAGTTATCGAAAAACAGTTTTACGTAAAATTTGCCTATTCGTGTCCGTTATTTCATAAACTTGTACCTTGTTTTGATTTGTCAATGTTGATTCTGTTATTTATGGTCAGGGTCACAGGATTAGAAAATTCAATGCTTTTTTATTATTTTTTGAACATAAGTTTAACATAACATAACTTATAATATTCAACCAGTCCGTTGTCAAAAATCTGCGCATGTCTATTTGAGCATTTTTAGGCGTTATTCGAAATAGCGCTTAACGTAAATCTTGGGTAAATTACGTTATGCGGTAACGTTATTTCAGTACGTAGTGTTGAAAGTCGAATCGCGCATACGTTTAATGTCAAAATAACGTTGCCGCTAATACTGCATGATGCTATTTGGGTTACCGATATCTCTCTATTGATCTAAGTTATGTTATGCTCTATATTGAAGGTAAATGCCCATAAGTGACAAAAAAATTACTGTCACCTATCACAAAAAATGACTGTCATTTTACATCCCTAATACCGTACTGTGTATCCCATGCAGAGCTGTCACAAGTATATTACTAAAGTACTTGGAGTACAAGTACAAAGTACTCAAGATTTTGTAGAAGGTGATTGAAGTACAAAGTACATATTTTTCTCACATGTACTCCAATCACCCTATACAGGGTGTCCCACGGTGGATGGCGTATTAGACGTTTATGGAGAACTAAAAAGCGGATCATTTTGAAAATTTGGTAACCAGGATAAACGACCATGATCTACACTTTAAAAATATTTTTGACCATGCGGTGTTGCCGCTTCTACTCTAAACTAGTGGCAACATCACTATTTTAAATGGAACACCCCGTATTAAATTGCATATTTGGATTCTACGTCAAGTTCTAAGCAGATTTCATGTGATATACCCTATACCTAAGTTTAACTGTTTTGGAAATATTGACAGTTGAAAATTAACTTTTTTGCAAATTTGACAGCCTGTAAAACCTAAACGGTTAATTTTGGAATAAAACCTATCTTGAATATCTAAGATTTTCACAAGTTATCATTTGACATCAACTGTGAATTTAACCGAAGATTAAATTTAATTGGAATTCTCAATCATGGATTAAATTCAAAGTTGATGTCAAATATTGGTGTCAGCTGATAGATCTAAATCTAAGATAAAAATGTAAGATCGGTTTTGCCTAAAAATTAACCGTTTAGAATTTATGGCCTGTCAAAGTTGCAAAAAAGTCAATTGTCAACTGTCAATATTTCCAAAATAGTTGAATTTAGGTACCTATAGAGTATATCACATGAAATGTGCCTAGAATTTTATGTATAATCCGAATATCCAATAATTCACAGGGTGTTCTATTTGAAATAAGAAATTTGGAGCACGACCAGCTTTTCTGAAACACCCTGTATATGCGAAAGTGAGTTTTTCAAAAAATTTAATTTCAACTATAAAACTTTTATTTGGGACACTTTTTTCTAAAATGTCAAATAAAAAGATAGAGGGGGTGACATTTATAACCAATAACCCTGTACTTAATAAAAGTACTGCAATTTTTCAAAGTTCTTAACTTGAAGTAGGTACAATTGAAGTATTTCGAGTACTTGTACTTCAAATACTTAATAATGGGTCGTTCTCATAAATATAAAACATAAAACATGACCATTCGTTCATTTATTATTTTTCTTGGAATCTTTGTCAAAAATTAACCAACAAAGGCCGAGTTCATTATTGTCATCTTTTTCGTCGATTTGCTCCGAAATTTTGACAGGCACGTGACTGATAAGACAATTTCAATTTACACATCACATGCCTGTCAAAATTTTGGAGCCAATCGACGAAAAAGATGACAAAAACGAACTCGGCCAAAGCCTCTAATGTCTGTGTTACTTCAAATATTTAAAAATATAAAGTACATATACTTCAAGTACACTTTTGAAGTACCGGGTAAATCGCTTATATTTTGCACCCACACCTATCTTATCTATTTGAAGAGATACCCAGAAATATTAAATGTGAAAGTTGTAGGTAAAGTATGTTTTTTTTAAAAAGATAATTCCCCAAGTCAAAAATTTAGTAACTATGTTGGCAACACAAGCCTTTTCTACATAAAAAATTCGAAAGCATTGACACTTTTACATTGTATTGCCAACAGAATGTCATTTTGACTTTTATCTTTAAAAAAAAAAAACAGACTTTAATATCAGAAACTTTGCGATAAGTTAGTTACAAGTATACAGGGTGTGTATACCCCCCACTAATAGTCAGGGTGAAAATAAGAAAAAAGGGGATGAAATAATTTTCATTGAAAAAGGTGAATGAAAATGAGATATTCAGAGGCTGGACTATGAGAAAGAAACCTAAAATACCTAGTATAATTGGAATTTGGTTTAAAAGGTTGATCCGATAGATTAATAATATATGGGGTGTTCCATTTAAAGAAGTATAATTTTGTTTCGCCACACTTTTGTAACACACCCTGTATAATTGTAAGTAACTTCATTGCAAAGTGTTTGATATTGCCCCAACAACTTTCTCATTTGACATTTCTGAATGTATCTTCAAACAGGTGAGATAGTTATAGTACCTGGAGCACTTGTGATGTACTGCAAATACTTTTATGTGCTTGGCAGAGCTATGCAGTACTCGGGTACAAGTACTCTTCACTTGTACTGTAAGTACATTTTGAGTTACTCGGTACAAAGGCCAAAATACTTTTTGAATCATGTATCTATCTGTACTTATACTTGAACTGCTTGAAAATATATAAAATACCCAATACTTTTAATTATGTACTCAGTACATTTCAAAATACCTGAGTACATGCTTTTATACTCGAATACATTTGTTATACCAGGGTATTTTCATTGTTTTCGCCTATATTTGCAGGTACAGAGTAAAATTATAGGACTCTACAAGTGAGTGATCTATTATAAATGCTGCTAACTTTTTCATTTGACGTTTTTGACAGAAGTGTCAAATACAAAAGTTTTAAGAAATTGTCAGTTTTTGACGCATCCTGTATGCCTGAAACTGACTTAGTTAAAAACTTTTGACAATTTCTTGAAACTTTTGTATTTGACACTTTTGTCACAAATGTCAAATGAAAAAGTTAGGAGAGGGTGACATTTATAATAGATCACCCTGTACATTTCCAGACAAGTTGAAACCTGACATTATGTTCTTGTTTAGCGTACAGATGCACTGTGGCACTGTGTCTGAATGTGAAAATTCTGAACCCTTATAAACTCTGGACTCTGGCTTACCAAACCAAACTTTAAATTTGCTGAATTGATTTATAGGGGGATTTTCAAGTCAGTAACTTTGACAGATGAGCAGCACATTTTACGTCATTCAAGACCATATTTGGTTGACAAATGACGCTTTTACTTCATTGTTTATCTGTCAAGGCTAATCGACCGGTCAAACGCCTGAAATCTTCTATAGTAATCTAAAATGTGTTTTTTAGTTTTTGATGTATAAACATCTATACCGGCGGTTTGAGGGTGAAACGGAATGTGACGTCATAACCTATGCGCAGTAATTAGTGCGCAGGTTCTTCAGCGGTTGCGGACTAAGTTGGCATTAGATTTTCATGTCAATGATTAAGGCTGTTTAAAAGAGCAGGTTGCGTAATAGCTTTTATGACGTCATTGGTATGCAAAGTGGCATTAGAATATATTTATAAATGTACTCGCTACAATGAGTATTTGTGTATTGAATACTTGTACTTGTACCCTGGTATATTTTGCCTGTACTCGAAACAGCTCTGATGCTTGAAGTACTTTTCAATGTCCTTCAGGTCCTTGTATTTGATGAAATCAAGCGAAGTATTTTTTTAAAAATAGTTCAAGTACCAAGTACAAGTACCGTATATCCACTGTTCTTCAAGTGAAATACTTTAAGTACTTATAAGAACTTGGAGTACAATTTCAAGTATTTTTCTTGAAGTAGGTACCTGACAGTCCCTTGGGTCCCCATGGGATGAAAATCAGAGTATAGAATAGAAATGAGAATTAGTTTTTCAGTTTCGTCTCGAAAACTTCTAGTCTCGATTTCGAGAGAGATTAAAATGGTCGAGACGAGACGAGAATTTTTGCTCCAGCTCTTGTAAGGGCGGGATTTCTACTATAAATGCAACTTCACAGAAAGTTTCAATTTTATTTTTATCAATTTTCCGCTCAAGGTGAAAACCTTCAATAGTCCATCATTTCTGCATACGGAAGATTGAATTCGGATTATCATTGACCTTTAGTTGTGGGCTCTTTAAAAAGATCACTGAAATTTCCAACATTTGATAAAGTCCTTCTAAGAAGTTACCTTCCAGGGGCCGAATTCTCCTCTCAGGAAGTAGAGCAAATTTTTCGTCTTTATCAGTCACACTTACTTTTCGATTACGTTGACAAGGACAAAACATTCGTCCTATATCCAATAGCTACTCCTTGAGACGAGAATCCAGCCCTAGTGAGTTTTATCAAATAGGAATATTATTATTTTTTTGCAAGCTTGAAGATGCCCTTATGTTTTTTACGTGTTTCAACTTTGAAATTTTCCATCGATTAGGAAAAATTTGTCTGGAAAGTTCTGGTCTTTGACATAAATACATACATTTATACGTAAATGCCAAAAATAGCTTCTTTAATGACTCTTCTTCTTTGTTCTTTCCAGCCTCCCGAAAATGAACTCCAAAAAACCGAACGCGTTATGTCCGAACACGAACTAAGAGTCCAACGCAGCCTGCAAAAACTCACAGTACCGGAATGGTACAAAAACTCCCAAGTCCCCGGCCAGGGCTTCCTGCTCAAAAAGAACCGCGAAACTCGATGGACCGGCACCGGTTCCAAAACAACCAGCCTCAGTTCGCTCGGTTCCGGTACTCAAAGTCCTATGGTACTCAGCCCCACCCCTGCCGCTCAACCGTTCGTCCGATGGAGCACTTCCAAGTTGAACAGTACCGCTTCGTCGCCGTGTCAAAGTACCAGAAGTAGCTTCAATCAGGGCAGACAACCGAACGGTTCGATATCGCCTAGCTCTGCGAGGTCGAGCTTCAGTTATCGGCAACCGTATTTGGGTTGGAGGTCTCAAGAAAGACTAAACAGACCTAGAACACCTGCTGAACGACTAGCAAGTACTTTATTGTCCAAACAACAGCCTGCGCTGCAACAACAAGAAAATCCTGAAATTCAAACCTCAATCAAAGAAGTTACGTCGGCAATAGTTCATTATGTCAGTGGTTTAAAACCTACAAGTGATAATTACGATCAAGACAACGTCAGTCGACGATCTAGCTCGGTGTCGCCGAGAGGCAGTCAGAAATTGTGCTGGCTGGAAAGCTCGTTTGTCGGTACCAAGCCTTTGGACAGTCCCGAAACTCCGGTTACTTGTTCGGAAAGTCCGGTACCGCCTCTCAGTTTGAGGTTGGATTTGCAGAATCACAGCAGCAATGGTAAGTCGTTGGTGGTGTAAGGAGTTCGACAAAAACTAGTGGTTCAAATGAGTTATTGCTGCTAAATTATTTATTTTATATTGTAAATAGGTTGTGTGCCAAAAAAAAAAAAAAATATTGCTTTTTGTTAAATTTAGTTCGGACTGATTTTTATAACAATCTGGGGTGCTATTTTTTTGTAGATCATTTAGTATGTACGTTTGTTTGTCTGTATGTATATCCATATATTCATTAGATTTATGTATAGTTTTTTTTTTATTATTGTTTTGTGCTTTTGTAAAGAGAAAACATTTTTGAGTTGAGTGTGTCACCACATGCTTTACGCCAAGTAAATTATGCTGGTTTTGATATATGGATTTTTGTTTGCTTGATTTTATTTAGCCTCAAAAGTTTTATTTGTTTTCGCATTTATTTTTTATTTGTTTTGTGCAATAATCTTTAGAGGCACTTTGTAAATATGTGTTTTGAAATAAGGTATATGTATTTTAGTTTAGTTTTCAATTTTTAATTAATGTGTTTTAACAAATAATTTTGTTAGTTTTTATGTTTTTGTGTATCGTTATAATTTACACACATTTATTACGAAACAACGGCGTATAATAATATGTACAAACATGTTTCATTATTAATAAAAAAAAGTTTTATTTTTTAATATTTGGTTTTGTGTTTATTTTGTTTAGTTTTGTTTTTCACACACCTTTCCTATGTTCATGTCTCAGTAATACATAGAGGCAAATTTTTGGTGGTTTTTAAGTTTTAAATGTAAGTATTTATTTTAATTTTTTTTAAATTTATTGCATGCTTTGTGTTGTGTTAACTTTTATTATAATTTTTCAAAATGCTTTTAAATGTTTATTCAAATTTTCAAGAACAAAACAGGGCTTAGTTGAAGATGTTTTATTTTTTGGCTTAAGAAACATCATATGTTAGAAGTTTCCTGGACGTTTTGTGAACATTATAATATTTTAGACGTTTTTAGTGGGTTGTTTTTAACAAAGTTTTTGAACAAACGTCCTATTTAGTAGCTAATAATTATTTGTCTAATGTTTCCTAATTTTTTACTAATCTTAGGGCCAGTTGCAGTTAACCTATTAACAGTCAAGGAAAATCCATAAAAGAGAATTGCTTAGGTACTTTTTATTATGAATATCGTGGCTGTTCAATTCAAACTACAAGACATTTTCCCAGACTCAATTAAATTTTGTTCCAGTTTATTGAATCTATTCCAAATTTAATTGCTCTTACATAGAAATAAGCAATTCTTTTCTGTGTGAAATCCTCAAAACTAACCTATATTCTAACAATCACTCGCCATCTAGATTTGGCAATGCTTTCGACCGGAGACTCGAAAGTACGTCCATCGCCAAGTTCCACCACCCTGGAAGACGTTTTGGATTCGCTCTTAGGACTACCATCATCAGGGAGGGCTGCTAGTCCTTGTCTTCAAGGTAGGAGGCATGTGTAAGTAGTGTTTCGATTTAATTTTGATTTTTTTCGTTCAGTTCTATGGCTAGTATCCGGTCGCCGTTTATAAAGGTTGAAATGTTGTTCACAGTTCGACTTAATCCGTAATCAAACACTTATTGTTGATGTTATCAATGTACTTAATTTGAAAAATGTACCCTAATATACAGGGTGTCCCACGACGTTTTTGCCAGGTGATAACTTCGGAACGCGTCATCCAATGTAATTGGAATGTTAAAAGTCTAGATAACTTTTTGTGTAATCCAATTTCGCCACTTTCGCTTCAGTTTTGGTCAAGTGACGACAACTTTAGAATCTTAAATGTAACTTATGGTATACCTATTATGGCATTTTTCGTTAGAAATTTAAATTACAAAATCGGCAATGCCCATATTTGTTAAGGCTTTGTTGGAGAAAATGGTGAAAGAACTAAGAATTACACGTAGAACATACAATGACGCGTTCCGAAATTATCACTTGGGTAAAACCTCGTGAGACACCCTGTACACAGGGTGAATGATGGTCGATGGTACCTTAGACAGTTGACGCTTATAGAATACGGAATACATATTGGATTTTGATGCTCAAGTAATAATTGCTCCTATCTATCATTCTAAAATAATTTCAACGATGCGGCGTTGTCGCTTATAGCGAAAAGTAATGAAGATTATAAAGTTTGATATTTTAAATAAAACACGTACCTACCTGTGTATATTATTGCATTTCTCGCTCAGCTATTACTTTCTGATTATTTTTGTTTAATACTAGTTCTATACCTATATCCTATTCACAATCCGTAGTCCAAAGGTAAAGGTAAATTTTACCTGTACCTTTGGACATCGGATTGTAAATAAACATTGTTTCACGAGGGTTCATACTTTTTCCCTTCCATTTTTAACAAATGGAAATTGACTGAAACAAATCAATAACGTCAAAATCGTTCGTTGGTTCTTGAACCAGAAGTCATTCATTTTAATTTGTCAAAAAAATTGAATGTGTCATATGAATTAATCTACGACAACGCTTTTTTTCCAAGTTATGGCGTGTTCGATATTGAAAGTATGAACCCTGGTGAAACGAACCTTAGATAATATCTCTAATGATTTTCGAGTTATTAATTAATTTCTTTATTTTTTCTTCAAAACATAGTGTATTACGACGTTACTGAGATTCGTAAAAAGTTTAAATTTTCGAGATAACTTAGGGAGGTCCTGCATATTACTTTTGAGCAAGAAAATTTGTTCTGCATTATACAGGGTTGGTTTGGGTTAGTTTTGTGTTAGGGCGTTAGGGCTAATTTTAAATTGTACTGCCAGGTACAAAAAAGATGAAAAGTGCACTTTTTTAAATAGAGCATCCTGTATATTGAACAAATCCCCCCCCCCCCCTACCGCTTCCGCCAAATCACCAGTTGTGACGTAGGCAGCATGCATGTCCTTTCTCGGATGGTCGTAGGCTCTGTTTGCACTACAGGTTACGATTCCGCGGGCTATTGCTTCATGCATACTTGGTTTTACTACATTAATTAACATTCTAAAACAACTCTTTTTCAGATCTAGTTTTCATCTTCCTCTTTGCCTATTATGTTAATCAAAATTAAATAATATTTCTCATCATAAATAATTCCAAATTACGACCTCTAGTGCAAACAGCTGACGACTTGTTAATGACGTCGTAAATGGTGACACAACAATATGGCGGCGATTACCAAAAACTAGTAAAATGTGTACTACGTAATTCGTAAATGGAATGGCACCAGCATTTATCACGCCTGAGGCAAATTTTTAAACGTAAAAGGGGTGGCCGTCTTTGTCTTTTCCTCCACTATTGTTCGTAAACATGTATGTATGTGACAGAGCAAACAACCCCTTTTATTGCCCTTCTCACTACCATAAAATTTGCCTCAAAAATGGACATTGAGAGCAGCTGTTAGGTCTGTTCCAGTTACGTGTAGTACATAGTTCATTGCCAAACACGAGGCCGATCGGCCGATAAGCAATCCTTAGTAGTGTGTATTATCCTTGATTCAAACCACGAAATTTGTCTACAATAGTGGGTGATGGCAAATAATGAAACTATATGGTCAACATCAAGGATTGAAGATGGTCCACTTTCCGTAATGTGTCATACGCAAAAGTATTGTCATGTGTTTTTGTCTCTCTCCTACTCACGATGTTTTTAATAGTTCAATCTTCAATCCAGTGACGTCACAAGATTCTTAACATAGGCATCTATGGAAGTTACCATAGGCATCAATGGAAGTGAGCCATCTTGCCATCTATTTTACCATGACTGTTTCCTTACTGTTAATTTTGACATTGTAGAAAATCAGGTGTTTCGAATTACCTAAAAAAGTGCACTTTTCATCTTTTATGTACCAGGTGTTTGTCTATATTTTCAGGAATGTCAAATGTGAAAGTTGTAGGCAATATCAGAAAGCTTCCAATGAAGTTAATTACAAGTATACAGGGTGTGTCACAAAAGTGTGGCAAAGCAAAGTTAAATTCTTAATGGAACACCCCGTATGTTATTGGCCCATTGGATTAGCCTGTCAAACCTGATTTCAAATACAAATACAGGGTGTCCCCCGTTCAACTGGTCAAAAATGCTAGGGTATATAGAAAAATCATAGAGAAGTAGTTTGAAATAGGACACCGATGGTCGGAAGTGCGTAGTTTCCAAAATACAGGGTGTTGAAATTTTACAAAAAAATCGAATTTTTCCCTCTGTATTAAAAACACTTTTAGCGATTTTAATGAAATTTCCAGGATTAAAATGAGGGTGGTGATGGGGATGGGCCACGCAGCATACCTTTACCCACATACCATATACCCTAGCATTTTTGACCAGTTTAACGGGGACACCCTGTAAACTAGATTTTTTCAGTTTCTTCTCAATAGTCCAGGAGAAAATATATAAGAACAAAAGTGGTGGAATAATTGCATTTTTATTGAAAAAGTGTAGTAAAGACCAGCAGCAAAATATAGGGTATACCATTTATAAAGTGATGACAATGGAAGTAAGATGCCATTATGTGACTTATATAAGGATATATGAAAATTGAAAATAGAAGTGGGCCACGCCTCCGCCGCCATTTTGGTGCTCTGAATTGACAGTTGGTACCAAGGATAATACACACTACTACACAGGACTGCTTTTCGGCATCATTTTTAGGAATCGCGGCCATATTGTGTAGCACCATTGCCGACGTTATCAACTACGCCGTCACTGTTTGCGCCAGCGGTCTTAGTTTAGAATCTACATTTATGATGAAAAATATTATTTCATTTTGATTTACATAATAGGCAAAGCAAAGAAAAAGATGTCATCGGGATCCGAGAAAGCGTTGTTTAATGGCCGTTTGCACCGACCATTTTAGGGGAGGTTTACTGGTAATCAACGCTTAAAGTGACATTTTTACATTGTACATATCACTTTAGGCGTTGATTATCATTAAACTTTAAAATTAATGCACTGAAACCAAGTATGCATAAAGCAAAAGCCAGCGGAATCATAGCCTGTGGTACAAACACCCTAGGTCAAGGCAAGACACGACACGCTGTCGACGTCATCACTGTTTTTTTGGCGAGAGGTGGTAGGGGGGAGTGACATTTGATCTACATAGGCCTTATGAGAATAGGGTATCCTGTAATAGTGGTGTGTCCAAGTTGTTAGGTACTTATTAGGTAGGTTGTAGGTTGGGTTCCCGTCTACAGTCTATTCTTCTTTTTTGACAGTTTCAAGTCTAGAGCTTAGCTTTCAAAATAACAGATGTCAGTAACCACAACCAAGGCGGAGTTGCCAAAGGTCAAAGGTTTGGTGAAGGAAAAGAATTTCGTTTCGGCTGGATTGTGAAAATTGTGCATATTTTATGAAGATTATGCATATGGTGCATATTGAGATCAGATTGTGCATAATATGTACCATCATCACCAAAAGTATCTGGGACACAAATAATCAATAATAATCTCCTGGACTAATTCTACTGTCATTCATTTCAATGCATTTAATGCATAGTTTGACAAATATTTGACAATAAAATTCATATAATAGGACTAATGTGATGCTGTCCCAATTACTTTTGGTGACGATGGTACCATTGTGCACGTTGGTGGAACATCCCTGCTTATAAGGATAGGCTATTCTGTAGTAGTAGTGTGTATCATCCTTGAAAAAAAACAATAAGGCCTACTTTGAAATTGAAACGTCAATTTTTTAACGTTTGTTGTGTCATAACTCATAAGCAGTGTTGCCATATGTTTTTTTTTAAATCTCGCGCCTGGAAGGTCAGGGTTATTCTAGTTACGAGCCCGAAGGGCCGGAGTTATTTTAATCACGAGCCTGGAGGGCTGAGGTTATACGAGCCCGAAGGGCCGGAGTTTTTTTAATCACGAGCCCGTAGGGCCGGGGTCCAATCTATAATTCTACTAATTGAATGGCATTATCAACTACCCAAAGATGATACACACCTACAAGATTGCTTATCTGCCTCGTTTTTGGTAATCGCCGCCATATTGGTGTGTGACCATTTCCGACATCAATAAAGTCGTCAACTGTTTGAACAGCCTACGTCAAGGCGAGAAATGTGCTTCTACGTCACAACTGGTGACTTGGCTTGGGGGCGAAGGGGAGCATTTGTGACAGACATACAGGCAACACAGGTAGGGTTTCCATACGTCTGGATTTACCCGGACATGTTTGGGTTTTTAGGGTGTCCGTGTCTGGGAAAGTCCGACCGGAAATCGAAACAATGTCCGGAAATTCGAAGATCGAGAAAACCGCCTAACTTTGGTTAAATAAAATATTTCAACCGTTACGTTACTACATCTCTACCAATGACCAATGCCGACAGAAGAATTTTCGAACGTATCACATTTCTATACTCTGGTGTCACTCCAGCGTGTTCGACGGGCGCTCGGAGCAGTATGGATTCGTCTTTTTTTACTAAAATTACGACGAGTGAGATGGAAATATATTGACTGATGACTAATGACTAAAAGATACTAATCGGTATCGGTGAATCCCAGAGGACTCCCAAGTCCGTTTAAATTAAAAACAGACTTTATCTTTTAATAATGCCAAAACGGAAGTGTGTAGGAAATCCAACGACCTGTCCAAATGGCGGCTGTTTGGCAAACAATAAACAAAAAACATATATGAAAAATATGTTTTTTTTGGCGGGATTTTTAATAAACGGGGCGAGTTTTCAAATCTGACACTTTTCTGACATCTTTGACATGTAACAACCCGTATTCTAACCTCATAAAAATTTCAAAATGCCGGCTGGTCGGCAAAAGTCACGTGGTTTGGATTCCCTTTATACAAATTCGAGTGTTGCTCACAAAGACAAAAAATAAATCATTTCCATTTCATCCTTTATAGAAATTTTAATTTATTTTTCGGCGAAGTACGGATTTTGTCCGGATTTCTCGACTCCTTCGTCCTCAATTCCGAAAAACCTTCATGGAAACCCTTCACACAGGCCTTATGTAGATAGGCTATCCTGTAGTAGTAGTGTGTGTATCATCCTTGAGATAGGTTTGGGTTGCAGAATATAGACAATTCACTCGGTACCTGGTAGCACAATCACTAATTTTGACCAACCCTGTATAATGTAAAACAAATTTTCTTGCTCAAAAGTAATATGCAGACAGGACCTCCCTAAGTGTTTTCTAAAAGTTAAACTTTCCACGAATCTCAGTAGTCCAGTGGCGTAGTATCCACTGTAGTATCTAATATAAATAAGAAAGTAATAGCGGAGCGAAAAATGCAATAATATACAAGGTGTCTCATTTAAAATATCAAAGTTGATATTACTTTTAAGTATAAGCTGCAACGTCGCATCGTTGAAATTATTTTAGAATGATTGAACAGGGCATGCAAAATTTCAAAAACATTCAATATTCCGTTTTCCGTAAGCGTCCCAACGTACCATCGACCATCAATCACCCTGTATATAGGAGCTGTAACTGCTGTATATTGGTATAAAGATAAATAAATATTGTCTGGCCAGTGGATCTGGAGCTACTGAAGGAATTTGAACAAAAATGTTCGATGTTGCCACGTTTAATTATTAAGATAAAGCAAAAATACTAGATATTTTAACATGGTTGTTAGATGTATTTCTTATTTAATAACTGGAGGAGGTCTATTATAAAAGGTTAACATTTCCCATCACATTTTCTAAAGATACCATTAGGTTGTGTCAATTTATTGGCCAGGGGCTTTCGTAGTTTCATCCTCCTATCTTGAAATATCGACTTACAATGAAAAATCCAGTGACGGAGGTTTGGTATTAGCATTGTCGATTTTCGTGTATGAGTTGCAATATGATATAAGTACCTACTTTCAAAAAATTCCGCATAAGCAAAGCAGCTCAGTTGGGGTATTTTCTAAATGAAGTGCTTCAGATTCGGTGGCCAGACAATAGATTTCAATAGTTACATTGTAACTGTGAGCAATGGGAACCTAAATAAAATCCGTAAGCTTTTAAGTAATCAATGTATAAATGTGTCACCAATTTAACTGTAAACGCTATTGTAGCTAAATGTTGCTTATTTTTCCCTCCAAAAACAATTTTGTAGCTAACTATAAATCCCTTATATTTTTCAAAAGCACTAGCCAGTAATAATAATAATTCAAGGATGTTCTCCCAAGTCTCCTCAATATTCCAATAGACAATGGGAAAACATCCTCAAGAAAAACCTTTTATGAAATTCTTTATAGAGACGGTGTCAGCTAGCACTAGCCCTCAGCGACGTGCGAGCGACGCGGAAGCGAACGGCGCGTACCGGCGCAGATCGGAAGGCTCGGAACCGGCGGCGACCGGCAAAATCGACCCGTCGTTGCCCGCTCCCGTTTTGCTGCGCTGTCGCTATTCGCGCTGCGGCAAAACCGCCCTGCCGACGTCCAAAGAGGCGAAATCGTTCAAGAATTGTCACAATTGTTCGTACACTTATTGTTCGCGAGCTTGCAGACGGAGCCACTGGGAACGGCACAGGAAAACTTGCTTGTTTTCCAGGATGGGAACTTTGTGCAGACAAGTAAGAACTTGATTGGGTATTTTTTTTTTTGACTATTAACATCTCTTGTAGGTGATTCAAGCTGTCAAAGATCAGAAGGATTCTTTAAAAGAATTGTCAATAGTGGCTCGAAGAGGTATGTATTTGACATTTTTTGTCATTCTCGTGTATTTTGGGTAAGTTATTAGGGGTGGCCGTAGCAGGGCCGCAATTAGGCCCAAGGCCAATCTAAATTTTGGCGCCTACTACGAATTCTACCACTGTATAAAGATACAGGATGATCAATATGTTATATCATTTCTAATTTCTAACGTAGAAAATCTTTCACGAAAGTCGGTAATAGAAAGCAATTTTACCCACTCTAATTTGACTCAACAAAAATAAGCCACTGTATAAAGATACAGAGTGATCAATATTTTATGATTCCCGGCTCTTGTGGGAAATCTTTCACGAAAGCTGGAAATTGAAAACAATTCCACCACTGTGTAAAGATACGGGGTGATCAATCTTCGGATTTTAATGTCGAAAATGCTTCACGAGACCCGGAAATAGAAAGCAATTTTATCCACTGTAATTTGACTTAACAAAAAAAGCCACTGTATAAAGATACAGAGTGATTAATATTTTATGATTCCCGGCTCTTGTGAAAAATCTTTCACGAAAGCTGGAAATTGAAAACAATTCCACCACTGTGTAAAGATACGGGGTGATCAATCTCCGAATTTTAATGTAGACAATACTTCCCGAGAGCCGGTAATAAAAAGCAATTTTACCCACTGTAATCTGATTCAACAAAAATAAGCCACTGTATTAAGATACAGAGTGATCAACATTTTATGATTCCCAGCTCTTGTGGGAAATCTTTCACGAAAGCTGGAAAATGAAAACAATTCTACCACTGTGTAAAGATATAGGGTGATCAATCTTCTATTATCTCCGGATTTTAATGTTGAAAATACTTCACGAGAGCCGGAAATGGAAAGCAATTTTATCCACTGTAATTTGACTCAACAAAAAAAGCCACTGTATAAAGATACAGAGTGATCAATATTTTATGATTCCCGGCTCTTGTGGGAAATCTTTCACGAAAGCTGGAAATTGAAAACAATTCCACCACTGTGTAAAGATACGGGGTGATCAATCTCCGGATTTTAATGTAGAAAACTCTTCACGAGAGCCGGTAATAGAAAGCAATTTTATCCACTGTAATTTGACTCAACAAAAAAAGCCACTGTATAAAGATACAGAGTGATCAATATTTTATGATTCCCGGCTCTTGTGGGAAATCTTTCACGAAAGCTGGAAATTGAAAACAATTCCACCACTGTGTAAAGATACGGGGTGATCAATCTTCTATTATCTCCGGATTTTAATGTAGAAAATACTTCACGAGAGCCGGAAATAGAAAGCAATTTTACCCACTGTAATGTGATTCAACAAAAATAAGCCACTGTATAAAGATACAGAGTGATCAATATTTTATGATACCCGGGCTCTTGTGGGAAATCTTTCACGAAAGCTGGAAAATGAAAACAATTCCACCACTGTGTAAAGATACGGGGTGATCAATCTCCGAATTTTAATATAGACAATACTTCACGAGAGCCGGTAATAAAAAGCAATTTTACCCACTGTAATCTGATTCAACAAAAATAAGCCACTGTATTAAGATACAGAGTGATCAACATTTTATGATTCCCAGCTCTTGTGGGAAATCTTTCACGAAAGCTGGAAAATGAAAACAATTCTACCACTGTGTGAAGATACAGGGTGATCAATCTTCTATTATCTCCGGATTTTAATGTTGAAAATACTTCACGAGAGCCGGTAATAGAAAGCAATTTTACCCACTGTAATTTGACTCAACAAAAAGAAGCCACTGTATAAAGATACAGAGTGATCAATATTTTATGATTCCGGGCTCCTGTGGGAAATCTTCCACGAAAGCTGGAAAATGAAAACAATTCCACCACTGTGTAAAGATACGGGGTGATCAATCTTCTATTATCTCCAGATTTTAATGTAGAAAATACTTCACGAGAGCCGGTAATAGAAAGCAATTTTACCCACTGTAATGTGATTCAACAAAAATAAGCCACTGTATAAAGATACAGAGTGATCAATATTTTATGATTCCCGGCTCTTGTGGGAAATTTTTCACGAAAGCTGGAAATTAAAAACAATTCCACCACTGTGTAAAGATACGGGGTGATCAATCTTCGAATTTTAATGTAGAAAATACTTCACGAGAGCCGGAAATAGAAAGCAATTTTACCCACTGTAATGTGATTCAACAAAAAGAAGCCACTGTATAAAGATACAGAGTGATCAATATTTTATAATTCCCGGCTCTTGTGGGAAATCTTTCACGAAAGCTAGAAATTGAAAAAAATTCCACCACTGTGTAAAGATATGAGGTGATCAATCTCCGGATTTTAATGTAGAAAATACTTCACGAGAGCCGGAAATAGAAAGCAATTTTACCCACTGTAATGTGATTCAACAAAAATAAGCCACTGTATAAAGATACAAAGTCACCAATACTTTATTATTCCCGGCTCTTATAAGAAATCTTCCACGAGAGCCGGTAATAGAGAACAATTTCACCCATTGTAATTTGATTTGTTGGTTGTGCATTAATTTTATTTGACGGTGAGAAGGCGCCTCTATACTTTGGCGCCCTAGGCTCGCGTCTAGTTTGCCACCCCCTAGTTGCGGCCCTGGGCCGTAGAGCATAATCTAGTCCTCAGCTTTTTGGTCTCATCTGGAGTGCTAAAAATTTATTAATGTATCATCTAGGAAAACCTACACTAAACATCTACGAAGCATAATTTCTTATAGTTCTGAGTTTTTATTTTCCTTTATTTCAACATGATAGTTAAACAATAGATGTATGTACCTAAACTAGAGACTTTGAACCAGGGACGGGGCCATGGGGATATATCGAAAGTTGGGAAAACTTGGATAAAAAATTTAAAGTTGGGAATAATTGGTAGACAAAAATTTGCGCATCTTATTTGCGAGAACTAATTATTATTATTATTGTCTTTTGAGAAATACTTAAGAATGAAGTTATCTGACTTTTCAGAATCAATCGGTGTAATGTCTAGAGATCGCGGAGGCCCGTTAATGGTACCACTAGTGGAAATTATTATTCCTGGAATTATGAGCTTGATATGTCGTTGGATTTAGATTAAAAAGTAGAGTTTATTATTAGGCATAAAATAAACAAAACTCGACCTTTTGAAAAAACAAAGTTGATGATGATCGCGAAGAAACGAAACGTCTGATCAAAAATTTAATAACATTATCATGTAGTGGAGAAAAAGTAGCAATGAGAATGTGAAGTTTATTGTGCGATATCATTTCAAATAAAGTCAAAAAAAAATAAAAACCATTTCGGCAAAATTCGGTTTTTCATGGATATCTTCGGAATATGTAATTCGGAATTTACGAAATATCAAAACATGACGCCACTGAGCTCAGTAATGCGCAACTCTTTCCAAATTTAACCAACCCTGTATCTCTTATGGTTGCCGAGATCAGACTGCATCCTTATCCGGGACACCCTGATGTATACATGTCAAACTTTTTACCAGTTTTTGAAGTGAAACTTCTTAGGCGGCGGTCTGATATTTAGACAAGAATATGGAGAGTGATTTGAAAAACGCATCACGTAACGTCACGTTTTGGCAAATGCTTTGAGCTGGGAAGCTGAGCGGATTATTCAGTATCTTATTATTAGTTAATGCATAATCAATTAAGGTATTAGAATGTTGTTACTCTTGATGGTTCTAAAATTACCTGCGAGAAGCTTTACTACTAGAGATATAGAATTTGCTTTTGTTTTGACTCTATGGATAAACATTCCTAGGATTTCTATATTTCTACAAATTAGTTTCCTCAATAGGTATTTTCTACTTTAGACTTCCTGAAGGAAGAAACTCTCCAGATTGTTTTTTCTTTTCCCATATTTCCTAGAATATATTCAATTGATAAATTCCTCTCATTTCAGGTTACATTTCTCACGGTCTCGGTGCAGTGAAATGTTTCTACCCGAATCCGGAAGCGGCGGAAAAGTTCCTAGCCGAAGGCCAACAAAGTTTGGGCGAGTTGACCTACGTACGCTGGCAGGACCTCTTGCCCACCGAAATGGGCCCGCAACTTTACAAAGAGCTCGTTGAAATGTGCCAGAACTACAATTCTGAAACGAAATTCGTGCTCTACATATCGTTGTGCGTCGTTTCTGAAACTCCAGCTTCGGGAGCGGTCAAGTGGGAGAGACAATTAGTTTCAAGATGTGCCAAATTACGATTGAGTAAAGATCTTAATTTTATTGGTAAGTGTAGCGCAATAGTTGAGTCCAATTTTCAAGTGTTTAAGTTTCAGGTCCAGAAAGAGAAACAGAGACACCTGAAACGCTGATTCTCACTTGTCCACCTATTAGATTGCCCACTCCCGAGACTAGCATGCGAGCAAGACTGATAGCATTCAACAACGTACAAGCTCAATTGCGAAATCGCGGGGTGTCGCTCAAAAGACAGTATCCTGAAATTTACGGGCTCATGGACGCTTACTGCGAAGATCTCACTGTGAAATTTGAAGCTCAAACTATTTATCCGCGCAATGCGACTACTCGAAAAAGTTTTATGTGCATCATTATGCTGGAAAGTGATCAGGAAACTTTGAAGCACGTAGAAAAAGCTGGAGTACGCGTGCGGACTGTTGATTGTCTTTTGGATTGTGAAACGACCACGACGCTTTAATATTAGTGAGAATAATTCACTCATGGAAAATCTTATAAGTTCCTTTTATACGGTTTTATCAATAACATGCTGTGGACAGTTTTTTTACTCAAAAGTAAAATCTATAATAGACTATATATTATTAGTGCTTTAGGTAAAATTATTATCGCCAAATGTGAATACATTGTTATGTAATTGAATTAGTAACTAATGAAAAATAAAATAAGCAAATTTGACATCCAATATGTATGATAATTAAAGCCTATTTTGCAAAGTAAAATTTTAAATACTATAGATGTGGATACTAAAATCATCATTTTGTCCTCTGTGATTTTAAAGATATAACGTTTGCGTTTGTCCCCTTTATAATGATGTTAATTAGTTTAAACCAAAAAGAGATTTTATAATTTATGTATTATAGATAGGGCAGTCTACTTCATCAAGTACTTAAATTTATGCTTGGGCATTTATACAGTTACTTGATAATATAGGCAAAATAATAAACAATTTATTTAATTTAAATTAATTTAGCTAATGCAATAATAAATAAATAAAAATTTGTTATTTAGGTGCGACGTAAGTAAAAAAATAAATTAATTTAAAAAAATTATTGTGTGTGTGTGTGTGTGTGGAAATATGAGCACAATAATACTTGAATAAAGCAATAAATTAACAATTGCAGAGCAAGTTCCATTTCATTGGTTCTATTTGTTTTAATTTTACCAAGTAAACTTTGACATCCCCCATATACTCATCATCTATGGAAATAAGGCAAAAAAGACTTGGATTAGTGAAAGCCAAAAAATTAGAAGGTTCATATAGCAAACTACAATTTGCCATGCCATTAAGTCAAATATATTAAACAACCTATTTGCAAAAAATCTAAACAACGGTAAAAAGTCAAAAACCAAGAACATAACTCTAACGTCCTCGTTGGCGAAATAAAAAGTTCGATGCAATAAATATAGACTAAAAAATGAAAATCAAATAGGTTATCGAAAATTTGCCTGGTAGAGTTAGTTGGTAACTGAAGGTTCGATCGTCTCTCCACCTCTAATTTGTCCCCATCCGATAAGACGCCAATGCTTCTCCACTCTTCTGCTCAATGCGATTTTTTCACCAATCTCAGTGCAAACCGGATTGGTCAATGCGATTTTACACAAATCGGCTTTGGTAGCCACAACACGTCCACCTGTACTCAACGAACCGATATTGACCAATAAGACTTCTGCCTTGGTTAAACGGGCTACTTTAGCCCCTTTTTTATCGCCTTCAGTACGGACACCTAATAGACGTTTCAAAAGATAGTAGCTTACCTAAAAATAATTATTATTATATTAATTGCATTGATATTATATTTATTATTGTTACTTCAAGTTCAATAAAGATATTAGGTAGAGCCCCAACAGCACCCAAAACTTGTCCCACCAAACGATCAGCTCTACAAAGAGTTGGCTCTATTTTGGTACCAACACCAATAAGACCACCTGGCACTGCAAATTGTAGCTCATTTTGCTCAGTATACAAAGAAACGATTCTCGAAAAAATTGGCCTGCAAGTTAACTTGCCTTCAGAATCTTTACTAACCAATCCGGGTCTGACTTCAATTTCTTGGCCAACTTTCAAAACCCCTCTTAAAATACTACCACCAGCAACTCCGCCTTTTAAATCATGGACTTCACAGCCAGGTTTGTTAACATCAAAAGACCTGATGACTATTAAGCGTGGCAAAGAAGTAAAATCACGTTGTGGTATGGGAATTTTTTTGGTGATGTATTCGCATAAAACTTCAATATTGTACTTCAATTGGGCAGAGATTGGGATGATGGGTGCGCCCTCTGCAACAGTACCTTGAACAAACTTGACGATTTGTTCGTGCTGCTCTTTAGCCTGGCCCTCTTTCACCAAATCGATTTTGTTTTGCAAAATGATTATGTGTTTGAGTTTCATGATTTCTATTGCGGCCAAATGTTCACTGGTTTGAGGCTGGGGACAGGATTCGTTACCTGCAAAAAAAACACAATTTCTAAATGCAAATTGTTCAATGATAGCTTTGTTCCAACCCACCTATTACCGTCAGGATTTTGCGCAAAACCTAAAATTTTTGCGTAGAAACCGAAATTCGTATACAGAGTGGTCCCGAAACCGTTCTGGGACGGTTTTTTGGCGGGTTGGAACAAACCTTATATTATATCCTATTCACAATCCGTATATAGTCCAAAGGTAAAGGTAAATTTATCACCTTTCCCTATCAAATAGCACTGAAAGGTGGTAAATTTTACGTTTACCTTTAAATATCGGATTGTGAATTTAAAAAAAAAAATAGATAGTATATTATAATGCTGTTACCTGCAATTAAAAGTAGTGCTGCGTCCATGACGGCGGCACCGTTCAACATGGTGGCCATAAGGATGTCGTGACCGGGACAGTCTACAAAACTGACGTGGCGGACCAATTGGAAACGTCCGGAACATGCTGGACGTAGACAGGGGAAACTGTCGTCTTTCGAAGAAGAGCCGGAAATGTAGCAGGCGGGTCTGGGACACTTGGGATTGTCGCATTTGTAGATTTTCGCGTTGGCGTAACCTGGAAAGAGGAAACATTATTTGACAATGGGAATTGACACTGCATTTGTATTCCACTACTGTAGCAAAACGCCCCAAATACTCTATGTAATTAGTTAGATGGTAAATGGCGAGCAGTATATTGATGGTGTTTATTTACTTGGAGCTGCTACCTAAATCTGTGGAGGGGTATATTTGCAAGAGAGAGAAACAAACTATTGAGGTGTACTAAAATTATATTTTATTATACATAAAACCCAAAAATTTAAATCAACAAAAAAAAAATCCAATTCTAACAGCCTCATCTATTTTTTTTCTTAATTCAATTACTTCACATCCGTTCTAAAATTGTTATTATTACGGAACACTGAAATATCCCTACTAAATAAGAATCGCCCTATTCCCACTATTCCTAATAACTTATAAGTTAACTCATTTCAACACTTCCGATTCATTCCTATTAACTACCCTTCATCTATTTCTCTAAATTCTTTAAAATTTCTAAGTCCTTTACTGACTGCTTATGAAAACCCAAAATAATTACCTATTTGTTCATCAATATAGGTATTACTAACTTATTCTTATAAAACCTTACAATAATTTCTACTTGAATAATAAAAATCCTAATTCAAAATTCATTTCATGAACAACAATTTTCCAATATTTTAAGACAATTCTATTTCATGAACATCAAGTTTCTTTTCAAAATTTCCTATTGCAGTTAATAGTTTATCAGAACAAATTCTATTTTCGGATTCCTATGCCTAGCTAATAAACCCAATGTATATTGGTAAATGCATTATAAATTCCCTTCATGTTTTTGGTACAAAATTAAATTAGAATGTCATTATATCTGAAGGCAATTAAAGTTATGCAATAATATTCTATTTTCAAAACACTAGAGTTATTGACATTTATGCAATAAGGTTCCACAGATAATTATAAAGTCAAAGGTTTTTCTAGTAAAAATCACTCGTTTTTTTTTTTTTTTGGCATTAAAAGTCATTGTTAATTCACTTTTTATCATTCAGAATCAAAGTTTTACTAGTCAAAATCACTCAAGTTTTAGGCATTAAATTCAAAGTTTAATCATACAAAATCATGTTCATCATTTATATTCAAAATAATTCTTGTCACTATAGAGTACTTACATTTTGTCCATGAAACACAAACAAAACTAATCTAATTTAATTCTTTTGATCACTTAATTTAATTTACGCACATAATTGTTGAACGAATTTCAAATCTTATTTCTTTTACGATTTTTCGTACTTTTACTAAGTCAAATTAAACCCGAGGCCATACGGACAAACTTTAACTCAAACTGGACTGGACTGTTAACAACTGGCAACTCAACTGACATTTAACAACTTACTAAAACCGCGGTATTTATATTACATCGATCCCTCCGCAAAGTATTATTAATTATCCCCCAAATCGTCAATAGGAGGTCGTTTGACGATCAATCAGCCAATGCCATTGGCCGACCTAAATATTATTAAAAATAATGATGCAATTTACTTGAAATTTTTATCATTTTAAGTTCAAAAAATCGAATAATTATGTCGCAATATACCGATTTATCGGGGTCGAATATTTTAGGTTCAAGAATACCATAAATCATCAATTTAATTACTTGGCCTCCCTCTTTTAAGTTCATTGATTTAGGAGATGACAGGCTTGATGACGAAACACCTAATATAATATTAAACGTTAATTTTTTCCCTTTTCAGTTTATTGATACTGATTTGGAGTCTGTTTTTGATTATTTGACATCTATTAAATTTTTACAGTAAAGACAATGTGATTGATGGGTCTATTTTCTCGGAGAACAGAAAGACCTTTAGAGCTCATACGACATACATACAGATTTATGTGGACCAATCGATTCACAAACATAGGACAATAAAAAGTACATGTTAACAATAATGGATGACTATACCCTAGGGATGTCAATAACCGGTGGTTAGAACCGAAAAACCGGTGTTTTCTCTTCGGTTAACCGGGTTAAATCAGTTGTTTTTTGCTTCCAGTTATAACCGGATAGCCGGGTTTTATACCTAATAACCGGTGAAAAAAACAAGTAGACTTTCCTCTCGTCTTATTTAATAAATTTTAACATATTGAATAAGCGACAACAGTCGAATATTTCCACAGGCTTTAACCGATATAGTAGTGCCCATCTCTAGTATTTTATTTCAGTTTTGGTTAATTCGTTCAGCAGCTAGTTGTTATCCATCTTTCCCTAGACTGGATTGAAATATTGAAAAAAACATGTACAGTTGCGATAAAAAAAGGTAGTAGAAAAATTATTAACCACAATTTGAGCTCCCAGTGTAACATACAAAATTTTAACAGGCAATGACATCTTCTAGGTGGAAAAATGTCGAAATAATGTCATCTGAAGCTTTCTAGGTTAAAAACTTATCGAAATTATTGGTTATGAATTAAATTAATTTATAATAGACCAGGAGATTTTTGAGATTTTTCTTGTACTACTTTTTTTTGATCGCAACTGTACATGTTGGTTAAGGTACAGTTGCGATAAAAAAAAAAGTAGTCCAAGGAAAATCTCAAAAATCTCCTGGTCTATTATAAATTAATTTAATTCATAACCAAAAATGACATATTTTTGGCATTTTTCGATAAGTTTTTAACCTAGAAAGCTTCAGATGACATTAATTTGACATTTTTCCACCCGTTTTTAACCTAGAATATGTCATCGCCTAACCTCAACACCTCAACATATTTTGAAATGTTTGTTTACTGTCAAAATTTTGTATGTTACACCGGGAGCTCAAATTATGGTTGATAATTTTTGTACTACTTTTTTAGGATCGCAACTTTACATGTCAATGTGTACATGTTTAAAATGACAGAAGATACAAGAGAAATAATCAGTTTAGAAAAGTGTAGGTATTTTTTTTATATATTCATTGATGCTTTTTCCTAACATGTAACAGTTCCCGATTTTTTTACAATAAATATATGTTGTTGTTTAACTTATGTTACATTATAGTATAAATTATACAATTAGGTGCTAGCTGACGTCTACATAACCTCAATGACATGTTTGTCCCCCTAACGAAAGTCACGTTATGTCATTTGTGACAAGCTAGCGCCTGTGTGTTGAATGGTCCCATTAGGCAATTCAAACCACGTGACATTCAAGATGGCGTGGCGGCCACACATGGGCCAAAACACACAAAAAAATATCTAGTTTCTGCCCGAATTAGTAGTTTAGGTACCTAGTCAACAAATATTTTATTAAATAATGAAAATCAAAGTTGTAAGCAAAACTGTATGCAAAATAATTTAAAATACGCATAAAAACATATTCAAAACAAACTTGCTTGGCCGCCACGCCACATTGAATTTTCCGTTTTGACAAATGGATTGAATTGCCTAATAGAATGGACCTTTCAAACGCTTTGTTTGTCCCCCAACGGAAGTGAGGTTATGTATGTGACGTCAGCTAGTGCCTAATTATTCTGATAAAATTCGGAAAAATAACCGAACAACCAGTTCATCGGAATAACCGGTGTTTTATATCAGTTATAACCGGGCAGTTAAAACTGTTACTAAATTAACCGGTTAATGAAAAAACCGGTGTTTTAATAAAAATTGACATCATATACCCATTATGTGGGACAACAGAGCATGTGAAAGAATACATTGAACAAATGGAGAGAGAGAAAAATACAAAAGTGGCAAAAATAAGAAATGACAATGACAAAGAATATGTAAATGAAGATCTACAGAGATATTGTAAAGGGAAAAGAATAGTTATGGACTTGACAATACCATTTACACCCCAACTTAACGGAAAGGCTGGAAGACTCAATAGAACCTTAATAGAGAAAGTATCTTTATTATTTGATTCAAACATGGACAAAATATTTTGGGGAGAGGCGGCCAGAGTTGTTGCTTATATACTAAATAGAATAGTCCTACAGAATCCATAGAGCTAGATAAAACTCGTATTGAAATATGGACTGGCCACAAGCTTAGAGATGTGTTGTTCAAAAAATGGAAAAATTACAATAAAAACATAAAAATTAGATACAGATGAAGAAATAACAGTAAATCAAGAAAAAGAGCAAAATATACCAGAAAATGAAGAAATAAGACAAGAAACAGATACTGAAATTCAGCATGAAAACCAAACAGAATATTGTAAACAGGGTGAGTTACTAAGCGCGCGGTGGTCCATATCTCCTATACTAACAGAGATCGAAGAAAAAAGTAAATACAAAACTTGTAGATAAACATGAGTACTACATTTCCAGTATACAGGGTGGACCAATAAGTAGTGGTGACACAAGGTTATGTTTTTTTGAATGACTAGCCCTGTATATTATGACATTTCTGGATTTTGCGGAAAATTCTAGACATATTTCGTGTACAATGTCATATACCTATCTTCAACTGTTTTGGAAATATTGACAATTTAAAATTGACTTTTTTGCATCTTTGATCTTTGACAGACTGTAAAACCCAAACGGTTAATTTCAGAGGAAAACCGATTTTACATTCCTATCTTAGATTTTTATAAGCTAACATTTGACACCAACTTCGAATTTAACCGGAGATTATAAATTTAAGCGGAATTGTCAATCATGGATTAAATTCAAAGTTCGTGTCAAATGATGGTTTATGAAAAACTAAGACAAGAATGTAAAATCGGTTTTGCTGTATAATCAATCGTTTAGGTTTTACAGTCTGTCAAAGATGCAAAAAAGTCAATTTTAAACTGTCAATATTTCCGAAACAGTTGAAAATAGGTATACGACATTATACATGAAATATGTCTAGAATTTTCCGCAGAATCCAGAAATGTCATAATATACAGGGCTAGTCATTTAAAAAAAAACATAACCCTGTGTCACCACTATTTATTGGGCCACCCTGTATACTGGAAAATAATTTAGGAATGTAGTACTCATGTTAATCTCTGTTAGTATAGGATATATGGACCACCACCGCACACTTAGTAACTCACCCTGTATATGAAGAAAGTGATAAAGATTTAAACTTGGAACGAGGCGAAGATGAAAAAGACTCACTGAAAAGAAACGAAACTTGGGAATATATTGACAAAACAGACGCCAACGTCAAGAAAATAATATCAAATAAATGGGTTTTAAGAATAAAAGATAACGGGTCATATAAAGCAAGACTTGTAGTAAGAGGATGTCAACAACAAAAAGGACTTGATTACGAAGAGATATTTAGTCCTGTAGTAAATATCAGTTCTCTAAGAATATTGTTAGCCGTAGCAGTACAAAAAGATTTAAAAATGAAGAAATTTGACATAAAGACTGCATTCTTCTATGGTACAATTACAGAAGACATTTATATGCATATTTCTGAAGGGTATGAAAAACGAGAAGGAAAAATATGCAAGCTGAAAAAATCACTTTACGGACTTAAGCAAGCACCAATGAGATAAAACGAATGCTTTACAAAAATTTTAAAGGAAAATAACATGGAACCTCTTAGTCTTGACCAGTGCATTTTTAAAAATCAAACAAGAAATCTATTTTTAGCCATTTACGTTGACGATAGTTTAATTGTTCTAGAAAAATTAGAAGACATAAGAGAACTTATTGAACAAACTTGAGGAAAATTTCGAGATAAAGAAGTTTGAAAATATTGACAGTTTCTTGGGAATAAATATAACAAAAGGTGAAGACTGGATAAAGTTAGACCAAGAGAGCTACACTCAAAGTGTAATAGAAAGATTCCAAATGGAGAATGCAAAACCAGCAAGTACACCAATCATAGAGTATGAGGAAAAATTTACAACTGAAGAGGAAATAAAATTTCCTTATCGTGAAGCTGTGGGCAGTCTTTTGTACCTTTCAAATAAAACTCGCCCGGATATAGCATATGCAGTTGGTTTTTGCAGCAGAAATTTGGAAAATTCATTGAAGCCAGATGTTAACAACGTAAAGCGAATTTTGAGATATTTAAACAAAACAAAAACAAATGGGATTACTTATCAAAAGAATGGACAAAATGGAGTGTTGACAGCATATAGCGACAGTGACTTTGCAGGGGATAAACAAACAAGAAAACGCACTACAGGCTATGTAGTATTCTACTGTAATGGTCCAGTAAGTTGGTGTTCCAGAAAACAACCAGTGACAGCATTAAGTAGTACGGAAGCTGAATTTATAGCATCAGCTGAAAGCGTAAAGGAGGTACCTGCTGTACTTAAAAGTTCTTTTAGAAAGCATGTTTTTGAAAAATGTAACTGTTCTCTTAAATGTAGCTAATTAAAGTGCAATCAGTATTGTTGAAAATGGACAATTCAACAAAAGATCAAAACATATAGATGTTAGTTATCATTTTATTCATGAGAAAGCAAAGAAGGATTAATTAAAATAGATTATATATGTACAGAGAATAATGTATTTATGGAAGCTTTAAATTCTATTAAATTTGTGAAACATAAAAATGTATTAGTTAAATAGGTAGGTTTCTATATTTTTTATATACATTTTTTTTTTGGAGTGATAACATTTCATAATCATTAGGACAAGGTGTTAGGAAAATTGAAAATCTAGACCACTGCAGTTATTGAAATATAAAATGAAATAAAGTAATAATAAACAACATACATTTTCAATTATTGAATCATTAATCGTATAAGTATTATTCAATGGGTTCCGACATTTGTGGAAACAAATATATTTACATTTAGAGATATTAATTGACAGGAAGTTAGATTTGCACCACACAAGTCTGTCAAGATCAGACTGCAAGCCATCGAGACCGGGGCCAACCGAGCTAAAGAGTTTAAGATCGTCGGCATATAACAGACATTGGGATGTTTTAAAACATAATAGCACATAATTTATAAATGATGAAATGAGCACAGGAGTGATATGCGAACCCTGGGGAACGCCAGAGGTCACAAGATACAGAATCACAAACACTAACAAACTGACGCTGAGATAGGTAGGATTTGATCAGTTCAATGTAATTACCAGAAACACTGATCTCCAGAGATAAGAAGTATGGGAAAAATACCGAAAAATTACATAATGCCAGAGTTAATATTTAATTTATTAAACGAAACAAGAACATACAAAAAGTTTCGGCATAAAGACTATTAAAGACACTGAATGCCCTCAACAAAGAAACAACTACATAAAAATATAAAGTCCTATAAATCGATTAAGCCTGCTTAAATCTGATAGATGTTCATAATTAAACTTAATAACTATAATAAAAACCTAGTTCCTAAATCAAAGTCAAATACCCCTACCAATCACAACAGAGAAAACATTGAGAAACAACCCAATGGCAGTAAGAGTACAGAGAAAATTACCTGGACAACAAATCAATTTAAAAATTATTTTTGTACTCAAAGTACTGTTGTAGACCTATAATACCTATTCTATCTTTTGCAGCACTTAATTATAACTAATTTCAGCTTCCCTTAAATGGTTCCTTATATTCAAAAAATTAAAACAAATATCTCCTACAACTATCAGCAGCGCATTTACACGAAGGTCTGTCAGTCAAAGCTCCTTTTTCAGGCGTATCCAATTTCACTCTTCCCTTCTCAGGGGTTTTAGGCTCAGCAGGTTGATCAATATTCATCATATAATCAAAAGACAACTCTTCATCTCTTTTAATTTCCCTCAAAGCAAACAAAGCCAATTTGGGCAAGTTGGGATCCATACAATTAATCCAAGTAGCATAAACTCCTAAATTTGGATCACATGAGTGATTAATGAAATGACTAACATTACCATGAGTGGCAGCATCAACTGTATACAAATTATCACTTGAATTATAATCTAAATCAAATAAATAAGTGCGACCTTCTGCGTTGTATAATTTGCCTCTTCTTTCAGCCTCTTCGTGGTCAATAACTTCGCCAACATATTCGCAAATAAAATCGCCACAAGCCACTTTTTTCAATACCTTCACACCCCATCCGCAACCGTTGTCTGTCCTAAAAATACACAAAGGTACAGTACGTCCTTTTTGCACCACTCTGTTTCTGCAATTTTGATCACACTTGCACAATTTGTTGCATTCAAAAATTGCATTGCCAGGGTTTACATTTATTTTTCGTTTTATGTTATAATTGAAAGCCCTGTTGTCCTGTTTGCCACAGCAGGATTTAATTCCAGGACCACATTCTATGCATTCACAATGCACTTCAGGTTCAGTGGGTATTTCAATGTCACCTGTGGGTACGTATTCGTTTATATAACAGAAATTGTTTGGTGGGAATTCCAAGTCTGCATTATTTTCTACTTTTATTATTGCTTCTGATTTGTCCATTCTGTTTATGACATCTTCCCAGCGTTGTATTTTGGATAATTGAATTTCGCGTTTTAGTGTTAATAAATAAGTTAATAAGGCTTTTTTGCCATGTTCTAGTTTTTTATTGTGATGTGTATAGATAGGTATGTGTAGAAATTTCAATAGTTGCTTCATGGCTGTCAATTTGTTAGGGATTTGGGGTAATTTCCCTTTAGGAACAACACTTAAAAGAAGCTCGTCGTTTACTGTACTGAGATCTAATTGTAGTTTTTCTGCAAGTTGTTTTATAATTTCTTCATTGAATTGATTGGTCAAGTAGTTTTCTAAAATATCTTCGGCTGAAGTAAGATGCTCTATAGGTTCCCACGTATTGCATTCAAAATGATAACCCTGCCATTTAATAAAAAATAAATGTTCTTTATTATTAACGTCATATTCCATTTTTTCAATGGCTTCAACTACATAAGTTCTTTTGTATGTCTCTCCTTTGATACCATCTGCTCTTTTCCGTTTTAAACCTCTTTGTTCCCAATCCTTTAATGCCAATAATGCCTTTGACATATTCAATTTTTTTCCAGATAAATAAGGGGGCCATATAGTGAGACCTTTTTCATCAAATTGTAGCTTGTCTATAATAGAAAATAAAAGACAATTTTACTAATTATTTGACTAAATATTAAAAGTGGATGTAAGATACTTTTAATTTTATTTGATTTTTTTTTCTTTTATAGACAAGTTACCATTTGGACTGATAGAGGCTCCTGACAGGGTCCTAGATAGGTATTTTAAGCAAACAAAAAATTTTATGCTACAAAACAATAAACTTAAAAGTATCTTAAAATACCTTAAAATTTAAAAAAATTGCTTACCTAATTTGATGGTAATGTTTCTTTCTAATTCATTCTTGAAACGTACAGTTTGCACACCAGATATAGCTTTCACTACAGTGGATTTTCCATGAGCTACATGCCCAATTGTACCTATATTGATGGTGGCTTGTCTGCTAATTACTTCTGGAGATAGTGGAGTCAATTTGGTTACATCCTAGAAATAATATATGTATGAACTATATATAGGGAGTTATGGATATAATCAAAAATTGTGAAATTATTAATTAGGTTGCCCTGATGCCATGCCAAGCCATGGCTAGGTTAGGGGGGTCTTGCAGGATATTGCTTAGTAGCCAAATTAGGAGAGCAAATAAAGTGAAACTCTTACCAATTTCGATAAGTCCTGCTTATGTAAATTGGGCTGCCCCGTAGTTACACCGCTAGTTTCGTTCGAAGCCATTATTTTAAGGAAAAAGAGAAAATTTGGGCAAAATAGGCGCTAAAAATTTCCTTTGACACGTTTGTCTAGACGCAGTACCAACCTAAAAGAGTTTTTTTTTTTCCCAGGAAATTGTAATTGTAACCTTGAGCCCATCCCGTGTCAATTTTTACCCGAACCCAAATATTTGCTCGGGGTGCTCGTGTTCGGAACGGAATATGTTAAATTGTGCTCGATATGACCTGAACCCACCCGAACATTTATAGTTGCACTGTACGCTCAAACCTAACCTATTAGAGAGTTCTCGTGCCTCAAACGCTACGCTAATACGGTACCGCTAACAATACGGTATTTTACATGGTTTTTTGGTCCGCATTGGTCTCCGACGTCATGGTACCTAATAATGATGTTAATAAATACGTCATTATTAGGTCGTCTAATGACGACCAATAATGACATTTTGTCGTAACAGAATGACGTCACATGGGACTGTGACATTAAGGGTGGATTTTCATGCATCCATTTATCCGTCAATCCGTTGATTCGTTTTGACATATTTATATACGATTATGTCAGAATAGAATGTTAAACGGACATATTTCGACGGAAAAACGGATGCATGAAACTCCGGCCTAAAGCCTAGTACTCATAACTGCGAAATTCGCATTTTTTTGACATTGCTTCGACAATTTGACGTTTGATACACGCATAAAACGTCAAATTGTCAACGCAATGTCAAAAAAATGCGAATTTCGCAGTTATGAGTACTAGGCTTATGGATGGATTTTCATGCATCCGTTTGTCCGACGAAAGATGTCCGAAAAACATTCTATTCTGACATAATCGTATAAAAATATGTCAAAATAGAAGATTTTTCGGACATATTTCGTCGGAAAACGGATGCATGAAAATCCGGCCTTACCCGTCATTTTTATTGTCAAAATGACGTCATATTTTTAGTCCCAATGCCGTAAATGAAATCCAATTAGTCACGTCATCATTATGACGACACCGTGTTTGCTGGGTAACTTATTATTCATCCTGAAGATTCTGAGTTTGGTTAATTTTCCCTTGGTGTTTTTCATGGAGGAATTATTAGAAGTTGCAGTTCTGGCAAACGGAAATGGAGCGTAAACTAATTTTGACATAGCATAGCGTTAAGGCTCATCCTCAATCAATTTAGTAGCGAAGTGGCACTTCGGCACGCAAGCTAGGGAAATGTTGTTTAACGTTGGCATCCTCAATTCAATTCCGTGCTGGCATGCACGTCGACTCTGAAGTGAAGGTTGCAAGCTGCCAGCTTTTTCGATGCGTGCCGACTTATGTCATGCGCAGTACAGTAAAAAATAATTAAGGTTATCCTTGTGTTCAGTATTTTGCTCAAAGAGCAGAGCGGAGCCGTAATCACGTGAACAGCGAGCGCACAGAGCAGTTAAACCTTAGAGCCGGTAAAGGTAAAGGAGTAGTAACCTGGATTTGGAAAATGAAACCGTTTTTTTCCAGGTATTTTGGCTCACAAAAAATGGCGGTTATGGCAATTCAATGCTCTACCTGTATTTTGGTGCAAAACACCTGCCAAAAACTTAGCTTCACTTTAGTTTCATAAGCAGAATGGCGCGTTCCTACTCCTTTTGTCCGTAGGACAGCGCTTTACCTGCTCTAAGAGTTAAACGCTGTATCACAGGGCTCGAAATTTTATTAAACGAACGTGAATGAGCCTACACCGAGTACCGAGTACACTTTTTGAATAAACGAACGGTAAATTCATGCTCAGAGAACTCAGATCAAAATACCGAATGCACGGTATGTGACCGTACTACACGCACAGCAGACTGAAAATTGACAGCATTGAGGATGGGTATAAATTTTCCAGCACGCGTGCCAAAGTGCCACTTCGCTACCAGATTGATTGAGGATGTAGCTTTACGGTAAACGGTAAGGCATCCGCTAAGTTCCGTTAGGTAGCGGGATCCGCTAACGCTAATACCGTTAGAACTGTCATACTTGTGAAAATAGCGTTACGGTATTCGAAATTTGAACAGCATAAGAACTCTCTATTATAAATAAACTCGTTTTGATATTTTTTTACGAATTCCATTGGCTGAATTGGTGCAATATTTTGGAATTTCAGAGCACTTTTTGCCCCACAAATTAATCAAATGCCTTTTTGAATACATCACTCTGCTTTTTGATCTCATAGCTGCTCTAGAGTATGATGTTCTATGACACTAGTTGTATTCCTTTCCTTTCACACCTAGGAGGAGCTCCGAAACGTGTTTAGGTCTGGTCGGGGATTCTAAAATCACGATTCGACATACGATTCGACAACGAGATGATTTTTCCGACGATTCTAGGTTAGAAATCTCATTGGAATTATACCTTTCGACACGACAAGGCCGGTATCGTTGTCGAGTCGTGTGTCGAATCGTGGTTTTAGAATCTCGGCCCTGTTTGTTATCTACGTGTAGGATAGGTCAATGCAGACTGCTGGTGCAACTAGGTGTAGCTGATGGACACCAGAGGTGCTTTCCAGTGACCCAATTGAGTTACTCTTGAGCAGCTCAAGAGTGCTCCACAATAGGGAACTTGCACATTTTTTTTTTTTAATTTCAAAAATGTGTTCTACTACACTAAGGGCGGGTATTATAAAACTGCTTTGACAGTTAACTTGAAGTTAACTTTTTGAATTACATGTAATTCCAGAAGTGAACTTTAAGTTAACTTTCAGAGTAGTTTTATAATACCCGCCCTAAATACATAGTCATGCCAAATATCAAGCATTAAAAATCAGCCGTTAATTTTTTATAAATATTTGAAGTTACGCTCGAAACATCGCCATTTGAAACGACCGATTAGTGTGACGTCACTCGGCAACAAAATTCCGATGACAGTGACGAGCACTTCGAACAGGTAGATTAAGATTTGGTGTTGTTATGTATGCAGTTTTTGATAGATTTGACATTGGCGACACCAGCAGCACATGACGTGGCAACGGCGCGACCCGAATTTTACTACCTTGTGACGTCACGACCCGCAGAAACACGTTTTTCCGCGTCATGAATTTCGAATTATTTGGTATTTTCAATTGAAGATTTTGGACACCAGAGATAAGATATTATATTTTTTTCCTAATTGCATCATTTATTAGGATGATTGTTATTGTGTTTTATTATTTATTTCATATTTAATTTAATGTGCAAGTTCCCTATTGCTTTGCGCGTTCCAGTCCTTAGATTAGTTGTATTACTTTCAAGAGTTTGAAACACTCGAGCTACTCACTCCGGTGTTTAGTAGCCCCCAATTTGCAGTGAACAGATGCGTGGTGCAACAAACACTTTTCGAAAGGAAGAAGCGCGTGAAGCCCAGGAGCTGTTCCGGAGCTCCTCCTAGGTGTGAAAGGAATACAACTAGTGTCGTACACTTAAACTACTCATTTCTGTTATCCCCTGCCCCCTCGTGCACCAACCTTTATTTCGGTGTACCTAGCTCCTTATGTCGAACAGTTCAAGAGCGTCACACTCCAGGAGCATGATACTCTAACAAGTTAGGCACTGTCAAACGCGTTAGTGTAGTTCGTGCAGCGATACGAGCGGATAATTCTCTAACCTCAAAAAAAATGTGTAATATTTATGAAAAGAACAAAATTCACAACGTTTTATTGTCGGAAATTATAGAGGAAGATGGAGATTCCCTATCTTCCAACCCTGAAGACAGCTTCTTTGAAGTAGTTTTTAAATACTATTGCCCTCTCCCCATTCTGCACTCGTTATACACCTCCTTTTGAGCAGGTGTAGGTAGTGCAAGATTGGGCACCCTACACTGAAATAACAAACGCCTTACACTATTTGCACTAACCGTATAACAAACGCCTCAGTGCAGAAAAGTGTAAATTATTGTGCACTAGTGGAGGATAACAAACAGACCTTTGTTGCAACTGAAGTGCTCAAGCCCGAATCGAATCATTCAAACGCACGAAAGCCCGCGCATCTGCTCCTTTCAAATCTGGGTCGACTAACACCGGAGCGAGTAGCACTAGAAGAGCTCCAGTGTTCTAAGTTTTTGGAAGGAATACAACTTTTAAAAGTGCAGTGGAATAGTGCACGTCCCCAAGTCGATTCAGATAAGAGCTGCTTTCTTTTCAGGGGCTTGGGCGCCTCGGATCACGATTTTGAAATGTAAACAACCGTTCTTTTTAATCTGAGAGTCAAGCCTAAGGTCGTCTATCCCTCAGTCTATGGTCGAAGCTACAGCAGCCAGTGTTCGCACTGTCACTAGTGTCAGTTAGGTGTATTATTTTGATCTGAACAAACTGATCGGAGTCACTTGAGGTTTGCTTCAATTTCGTCTTTATCATTTTAGTTTACTTTTCGATTACGTTGACAAGGACCAAACATTCGTTCTATCGGGGAGCTCTACTCCTTGGCACGAGAATCGGCCCCCTGAAAAGAAAGCACCTCATAATCCAAGAAAATCTCACGTCAACTCTGCAAGAGAAGCAAACTTTCCAATGGAACTTTTTCAATTCTTTGCTGCTTAAATTTTCCGCCATATTTGAATGTCCTGACAGCCGCACGACTTGTTCGTACCGATGATGCTCTGGCTCTATTCCAACACCGCGGAGTGGAGTAAATGAAGCTCACCACTGTTATTTTTCTGTTGAGTAGTGTTGAGGATTCGTTCCAAATGATCCGTGTTGCTGGAGTTGAGTTCGAAATGGGATTTTAGTACAGTGCTAGTGCGGTGTTCGTGTAGTGTAGTGTTATATCACGTGATGAAGTTGTAGTCGGCAGTGTAACACCGAATACACCATCATTTTGTACCGAGTAAACGGTGTCCCACCATTCAGGCACTAAATTATTTCCAAACGTAAATAAAGGCTGAATTCGGCTTTGCACTCCACGGAGCGAAACGGTATGAGCATGGATATCGTGACGTCATACGCGGTCATAAGCCAAACGCAAAAGAGAACACTCTGAGAGCTTAAAAACAAACAGGATCTTATCGTTTCGAGCAGTGCTTCGAGCGCTCTGAGAGCTTACAAAGGTTGTATTCTTTTCACAGCTCCGGGGCGTTACGCTCTATTCCTTTCGAAAAGTGTTTCTTGCACCTGAGTACTCAAGCCCGAAGTAAACCATTTTAAATGCACGAAAGCTAGTGCATCTGTTCCTTTCAAATCAGGACGACTAACACCGGAGTCAGTAGTTCTAGGGCCGATATTTTTGCTCTCGATTAACGAATTTGATACGTCGTCAAAGTTTTGCATGGGCCAAAGTCTATTATAGGTATGATGTGGTTAGTGCACATTCAAAGCCCGGGATTATTTTTAACGACTGTCAAATGAGAGCAAAAGTACCGCACCTAGTGTTTCAAACTCTTGAAAGGAATACAGCTAATGTGTAGCTGAACTCAGCGAAAGTGTACACCAAGCCTACTCCTACTAATTAACAAACGTTCAAACCAAACTGTCAATAGTGTGAAAAGTGTCGACACTTTCCATCCCGAACTCACCTTTGGTAAACTTTAAATGCACTTTTCACTCCAAAAGAAGAGTGAAAAATTGCTTTGACTCTAGTTCGAATATATAACAAGAGGACAAAAAGTTCTCACTTGAACTTACTCGATCTACTCCAAGCAATTTGTTATGTCAAAAGGGTAGCCAAAAAAATTTGACATATTTTTGTTGTTTTTTTATTTAAAGTTGTATTTTGTTCAAAAATCAAAAGTAAGTGAAAATTTAACTCAATAATTATCTTATCTAAAGCCACATGTAATTTTGCAGCTTCCTTCGAATTCCCAATAATAAATTCATTATTATTTGCCCATTATTAAGGGCATAAATTCCCTCCCTCCTCCATACCTAAATACTTCACAGGTACAAGGCCCTTTTCAAAACCCAACCAAGTGAATAAAAACACCTGGCAGGTAAAGAGAGAAACGTTTTTATGGGCATGGGATATTTACCATTGTTTTGGTCAGGTTCCAGGAATTTGCATAAGAAAGAGTGAAGGAATTTTATTTTACTAGCAAGAAAACAAGTGGCAAAAGTAAGTTTTCATGAAATTAATTTTTGCAAATTTTTCATTAAGCAATTTTACAGAATATGACTGCCTCGCAAAACTCTGCGGCCCCTCCGTTGCCCCAGCAAAACGGTTTACCAACCTCCATACCCCAAATGCCTCCTACTCCTATAAAAACCCGATTTCCAGAAGACCACAACAAATTGGTAACCAAAAAATTACTACCCATTGCAGGGTTTTTTGTTGCCTTTGCCACAGTCATGACTGTTTTGATCTTGTACATGGATAATACTGGTGAGAAGCTTTTTAAGTAATAAACTACTTAATTTGATGTCCATTTTTTTTTAGCCATGAAACACCATCAATTCACTTTGAGCCTCAACAAGGACATGGAATTGAATGGTATTGCACAAGATGATCCTCAATTAATCATGTATCTCAAGGAAATGGCCTTAACGCCTGCAGTTGATAAGCACCATAAGGCTTTGGAGTCTCAAGATGTTGTCACTAGTGAAATGGAGTATGTTTTGAAGTTGTTAAACAATAAGGTGAGATTATTTCTCTATCTCTATTTCACTTGACAATTTTTGAAAGAGTATTTGTTCTTATGAATTCCTTAGGTCTCACAGAAATCACAAACCAGTCGGAGTGATTTTCATTGGTTGACTATTTTGCACCAATCAAAAACACTCTTACTGATTTGTGATTTCTGTGGGCATAGACTTTTCGAGGCCCTTTTCTCTCTCCAATTTTCCTTTCATTCCTTCTCCCTATTTCATTTATTTTTTATTTATTAATACAGTATCAACAGCACATGCCAATTACAGATACCGAGCTTAAAACTAGTAAACAATAATTATTTGAAATTTAAAATTTACATTGTTACAATCATGAACACTTCACATTAAATATATGAGGCTTCCTCGGAGCTCTAACAAGCAAAAACTTTTTCAAAAAACAAGATTATACTATATAATTTAACAATAAAAATAAAACAAACTTGTCTACTCCTGAGCCTGGGAAATAAAAAGTTTCTTACTTATAATTTTAGTAAATTGTCTTAAAGTAATAGTGTTTATATCTATGTCGCTAGCGTAAATATTAAAACAATTGCACATACGGTAAACTGGAGAATTCTTATACAAATTTGTTCTAGGGAAGTCCAAATAAAACATATTTCTCTGTCGGGTGTAGACACGATTTATTGAAAAAGGGAGTTGAGATAAAATATGAGGGCTATTTATATTATTATTTATCAGTTTATACATGTAAATTAGGCACATTTTTATTCGCCTATTCTCCAGGGAGAGTCTATTAAACAAATTCAAAAGTCTATTATGGTTAAATCCCTGAGGAGGGTAGAAGCCAAACCTTTTCAAAAAAACATACTTTAAGAACTTTCTCTGGACTCGTTCAATAGATTTGCACCATACCTCATATTGGGGTGACCAAATTATGCTCCCATATTCCAATCATGGCAACACAAAACTGTCAAATAGCTTAACACATACATCAACATTAAAAAGCTTGGTAGATCTGATAATGAAACCCAATATTCTATGTGCCTCATTAATTTTTGTTACAATATGATCAGTGAAGCCCATGCAATTGTCGAACAGTACTCCCAAGTCCTTTTGAACCGAGTTGGTCACTAATACCTCTTCATTAATTGTATATTGCTTATTAATAACATTTTTCTTTAAAGAAAAAGACATAGAGGAACACTTTTTAGTATTAAGCTTAAAACCATTTATATTACACCACTCAACAACTCTATCCAAATCTGCCTGTAAACAGTCACAATCATCCAGGGTTACTATCTCCAAAAACAATTTGAAGTCATCAGCAAACAATAATGACTTAGAACTCTCTACCACCTGACACACCCCATTGATCGCTATGACAAACAAAAGAGGTCCCAAGTTTGACCCTTGAGGAACCCCAGAAGTACTTTCAAATACATCAGAACAGCCCCCCTTAATTTCCACGTATTGTTGTCTTCCAGATAAATAAGAAGTTATCAGATTAATCAAATTATTCGATACATTGCTTTCTTGCAGAGACTTAAGAATGACACTATGTTTTATTTTGTCAAAAGCCTTCTCCAAGTCAGTAAAGATGACATCCACTTGCGTTTTATTATTAAAGGAGTCATGCAAATACTGGGAAAAGGATACTAGGTTCGTCAATGTAGATTTTTTAGGAAGAAATCCATGTTGGGTCTCACTAAGTTCAAACTTAACCAGATCATAAATCCTGTTGAAAAGGAGTATTTCAAAAACCTTGGAAACTGCATTGACTATAGAAATAGGTCTGTAATTGACGACGTCCCGTCGACATCCACTTTTAAATATCGGGACAACCTTGCTCGTTCGCCATACCCTGGGATAAGTAGGTACAAGTTCCAAGACTAAGATTAAAAATATACATCAAAGGCTGTAGCAACAATTCACCACATCCCTTAATAATATATCCTGGCAGACCATCCGGCCCGATAGCTCTATTACCTTTTAATTTTTTAAGCGCGTCAAGGATCTCTTCCTTTGTAAAAGGGAAATCACAAAAATGATCTTTAAATGAATTACTCTCGAAGCAATCGAGAGACTCTGCAGAGGAAAAAACACTACTGAAAAACATTGCAAACGCGTCCGCAATATTCTTTGTACCAGAGAACGAGACATTATTGTAATTTACCTCAGCAGGAATATCAGAGTCATTCTTTTGTTCCTTGATATAAGACCAGAAATATCTTGGATTCTCATTCAGACTCTTCCACTCTCTGTAAGTATTAAGTATAGGCCAAATTAATTCTTTTTTTAATTAGGGTTCTAATATTCCTATATTTACTTTGCCAGTAAGAAGACTTAGTGGATTTGAACTTTCTAAAATAGGTTTCCTTTTGTTTTAATAGTTTTATGATTTCCCCATTATACCAAACAGGAAATGTTCGACCACATTGTGTTGACATAGGAACACATTTAATAAATACGGCATGCATAATCTCATAGAACTTACTTAGAACCTCATCAACACAAGTACACACATAGAGACTGTCCCATTCCTGATTTAAAATCAAACTATACATAAGGTTACAATTTGCTTTTTTGAAATTAAATTTTGTATTACTTAACTGCTCACATACACTACATTCATTATCACAGTCAAAGCTTGCAATCAATGCAGGGTGATACTGATCAATAGGCAACAAAGGTTCATCATCAATATGCCCCATGTATATGGGGGCTAACCAGTACTAAGTCTAGGAGTACATTGTGTATATTTCTTATATTATTGATCTGCACGAAACTTGAAAAGGCTAAAAAACTTTTAAAATCACAAATAAACTCATTGGGTACATCATTTACATAGTCACGAAGATTAAAATCTCCTACAATAATACAGTCACAATTAACAAGTCCTGTCTCAATACATTCATAGAATTTTCGATATGAATTAATATCGCTACCAGGTACAAAGTACACAACTACTACATACACAACTACATACACAATTTCTCAATTTTTGTCTATTCCCGGCTCTTGAATTTGTGAAATTTACTATAGTAAACGTATAAATCGTGCTAATAACAAGCAACGAGAAGCCTGGAAATGTGTCAACGAGCCGAGGGGCACGGCAAAGAAATTACGGGTAGAATCAAGTCTATCAGCAGGTGATATGAACAACTTTTTTTTGTTCCGTCGCTGCCTCATTGGCAAAAGACATGCCAAATAATTCTGATTTTAGACAGTTCTTAAATGATAATGGTATCCAAGCTTCATTTTTTCTTTCTCCAACTGATGCAGTTTAAATTAGGGGGACTATGTCCGAAATTAAAAAAAATGGGGCTGCTGGATGGGATGAAATCTCTATTCGACTGTTTCTGGGGTTCCCCGATAAGGCAATAACTGTTTTGTCTGAGTGTATTGATTTTTCATTTTGCGAGGGTATATTTCCAGAATGTTTGAAGTGGGCGGTGGTAGTGCCTTTGTTTAAGGGTGGGGATCATGATTTACCTGAAAACTACAGGCCAATAGCCTGTGCTTTCTAAAATAATTGAAAGATTAGTAAAAAAACGCATGAATGGTTTTCTCCTCAAGTATAACATATTAAACTCTAGACAATTTGGGTTTCAGGCTGGTAAAAGCACTAATGATGCTGTCTTTCCTTTTCTTGAAAATTTATATTTGAGTCTGAACGATGGGGAGGTGGCAGCAGCAGTGTTTTGCGATTTAAGCAAAACGTTTGACTGTGTCAACCACGAAATACTTTTGCACAAGCTCGAGCTTTATGGGTTCAGGGGTACAGCTTTGAAATGGTTTAAGTCATTTCTTACTCACAGAGTTCAGAGGGTCTCACTTAACGGTTACACAATCGGAGCAGCAAGAAGTAGGATATGGGGTACCGCAAGGTTCCGTTCTGGGGCCCATCCTATTTTTATTGTATGTTAACGACTTGGCTAATATTAACATATCGGGTAAATTCACTTTGTTTGCGGATGACGCCACTATACTGTGGCAAAAGTCAGATGAAAGTTTACTTGGCAAAGTTGTAGCTTCTGACATAGAAATTATTGAATCCTGGTGTGATGCAAACAGGTTGTCTTTGAATATAAGCAAAACTAATGTAATGTCATTTGGGTGCAATTTGGGGGATATTTTTTTGAATGGTTCTTTACTAAATAACTTGACCGAAAATAAATTTTTGGGAATCTTCATTGACAGATGCTTAAAGTTTGAGTCACACATTATTTCTTTACAAAATAGATTGGCATCCAATTATTGTTATGCAATTAGGGTATTATCAGGTGAATTGGATGTGGGAATCGTCAGGAATGCTTACTTCGCCATGATTGAATCTCATTTGCGATACGGTGTTTATTTCTGGGGTACTTGTTCCCGACAATTATTTCAGAGTGTGTTTGTCTTGCAAAAGCGAGCTATCAGATATTTGTTCAGGGCCAGAATGCGGGACTCGTGTAGGCCTTTATTTTCAAACAATAGAATTTTGACCTTTCCATCGCTGTTTATCCTGGAGAGTGTGTGTCTTGTACACAAGAAATTTAAAGATCAGTTAGGGGCTGAACGCGCGTATAATTTTAGACACCAACATCAACTTTCTCTCCCAATTCCCTCTTCAGAATTGGTAAGAAAGTCAATTATATATAATGGCAAGAAAATGTTTAATAACTTACCACATTTAATAAGATCAATTTTCACTCCAGTTAAATTTAGGAAGGAGGTAAAGAAACTGCTGCTTGCGGGAACTTATTATAGTATTGAAGACTTTTTCAATGATTTTGTGTTGTCTTATATGTCATTTCTTTTTTTTATCCGTTTTTGTTACCCCTGCTATTCGTGTTTAATATGAGTTTTATACAATGACGTTTTATCGCCCTCAATGTAAAAAATGTTCTGTTCTTTTAAATTTTATATTTAAAATTATTTCTCTGGTTCTTGAAAAGAAACAGTTTTTGAGTTTTATTTGTGTGACTCTTAGTTTTAAGTTATATTTTTTATGACTGATTTTTATTTCTTAAATGTTTTGTGAGCTTTTCTATTTTAAGTAGGTATACATTTGGGTATTTTCTCTTACTACAGCTGTGTACCTACTTCATTTTCTAGACATAGGATCAGCTTTTGTGAACAAATATTTATATTTACAGAATAAAGCACATTTTGAATTTGAATTTGAATTTGAGCTTGGAACGGAAGAAAACATGAATACCCTCTTATTTATCACTTCAATTTTTATCTATTCCCGGCTCTTGAATTTATCAAACAAGAACCTGGGATAGAAGAAAACATGAATATCCTCTTACTTACCTATTTTTCTTTCATTCCTATCATATAATGAATGTTCTTAAATAAAATTTTTGTGCAAGTCTATTGTGCTGAGAGCTGCACACAAGATATTTTCTTCAAAATTGAAATTAAATAATTCCTAAGAATTTCTCTGTTTTGCTATAACAATGTTTTTTTTTTTTATAGAAAAATGGTTTGTTCATTGAAGCAGGCGCCTACAGCGACAGTAAAACATCAAAAACTGAATACCTAGAGCGCAATTTCGGTTGGAAAGGTCTTTTAATCCAACCGGACCCTCGCCATTATTTTAATTTGAAAAGGCACAACCGGGAAAAGAGCCAGTGCGTCCACGCTTGTCTCAGTCCGATGCCTTATCCAAGAGAAGTCACTCTGCACAATGAAAACGACGTAAAAATCAACGACTTGCACAGCAACTCCATAGACAATCCAGATTGGTTGGTGATTCGAGTAAAATGTTTTCCTTTGTATTCACTTATTTTAGCTCTAAACAGCAGCAGCTTGGATTATTTGAATTTGGAAACTGGCGGTACAGAGTTGCAAGTTTTAGAAACTGTACCTTTTGATAGGGTAAAAATTGAAATAATTGCAATCGATTTGAAGGAGAACGATACAGAAATTGGGACGATTAAGAAGTTTTTAGCAACGAAAAAGTATAAATTTATGGATAGGTTCAATGGCACTTATCTATTTATGATTAATAGAGTTAAAATTTAAAAATAATTTATTTTTTTGGTATTAATTAGGACAAGTATTTTTTTTTTTTATTTGAAAGACTGAGTCGCGCAAAGAACAAAATAATTGTTGAGCTGTTTTTGATCAAAATTAAGGGTGTTGGCTATTTTTGTGTTGCTTAATCTTAGGTAATGGAAATTATTGTCAGTAATAATTGTCTATTTTGTAACGATTTATCACACAATCAAATATAAATAAATAGATCTCAAAAATAATGCTCTCTAATTAAAATGACAGCTTGCTTTTTTTTTGCTAATATTTATTTTTTGTATTAAGTAATAGATTGTATGCATAATTATTCCAAATGTATGTATGTACAGGGTTTGTTCCGTTATAACAGTTCTAGATTTCATTTCTAGTCAATTTTTTGAAAGTTATAAACAATACCCTGTGCATGTTAATTTTTTGACCAAATTATATTGAATAGTGCCTTAGATATTCAACTAATTAGGTTTAGTTAATCGTAGATTTAGGCCTTTATTCACGAACAATTCATTCCTTTGAACTTATAATTAAGTTGGTTTAATTTAAGGAAATTTAGTATTATTGTTTAGTAATTAATTTTTTTTTGTACTTATTTCAATTATTATTAGTTTCAATTATTGGTAAATAAATTGCAGATAGTGAGAAAATTATTGCTATTAATTCTATATCCTTTGAAGCCTAATTTTTATTGAAACAATTGTAAAATAGATTAAAGAAAATTAGGTAACAAAAAAAATTGTTTAGCACATGCATAAATTTTTTTTTTTATTCAGGGCTCTCTACGGTTGTAAAGTATCCAGGATGCAAGTGGCATTACCCTGCTGAATAGCCAAACTGAATCGTTGTTTCAAAAATTCAAAGCAACGATTCTCTTGCGATTTTTCATAAATTTTCTGAGAAATATTCCAAGTTTTTTTGCTGATGGAACTTAAGATCCCAATGTTTCTACACCAAAGATATAGAATATGAAGCGTTCTAGCAAATTCTCATATTTTTGCACCTTCCTATTTTCTGCGGCGGAGCCACCGGCTGATGACGATGAGACGATGTTACTTTGGCTAACTGAAAGGCGACGTGAGGATCAGGCTGAGTGGCGCTGCCAGAAAGAGGATGAAATTCCTCAAAAAAAAGGGATGAGTGCAGACGAAGCCCGCAAAAAAGCCCTTGAGCCAATCAAAGAAAGGGCTAAAACCTCTGACAAGGGCGAAAAAAAACTACAGATGTAACATCCCATATAAGCCGAAAATGTGGGATAGTTTGTTATTGACCCAATAAAAAAAACATCAAAATTACCAATATCTGTATTAATTACACACTCCAAAAACCGATTTCGTTAGTTGTGGTTTTTTTCTTTAGCTGGAGCCGCTTCTTAAAATAAAAGTAGGTCTTTATTTGCCTCTTACATAACTCTCTCTTTTAAAGTCGGCGTGAATTGCATTCGATCCGATTCGTAAAACCGACGCAAGGTCGGATCAGTACCAAAAAGTTCTTTCACTTTTGACACTGAATTTCTCTTTTGCAACGACCACGGACAATAATTATTACGGTTTTATAGTTTTATCGGTCAGAAAATATCACTACTTTGATAGGTTTTAGCTTGAAATTTACTTTGCTCAGTAGGTTTTAATGATAAAATATTGAAATATATTTTGATTGTTTATGAAAATGTGGTGAGTTCATTAATGGTTGAGGCATGGCCAAAATTCCTAAAATACTTATGTAAATTTTAAACATAATGACGTCTTTGGGCGGTAATCTCATTCATTAAAAATCGGTTTTATGGAGGACCTGAGAATATAATTAATTCTTCGATACGAGAAAGATTTCAATATTAAATTGTCTTTATAAAAACGTTTTCACAGATAATAGGGTACTTGTTCAAAATTTTCAGTCAAAAATTCCTTTCATATTGTCACAACTCAACATACGTTTCGTCCTGGGACGTCACAACAGGAGCGTGACTTGGGGGCGTAGGTGGGGTTTAGGTAGAGAGAAACTCGCTTGGTATAGGTATAATAAAGATGTGTATTGATTAATAATAGTTATTACATAATCTAAGGTTATTACCCTAGAAATGGTATCATGACGTCTCTTTTACAGAGGGACGTACTACTTAAGGGCCACTCTGTATTAATTATGTACCCTCTGTACACTTGGCGTGACTGAAGACTGAAAATAGGTTTGAGACAGGTCCAGAAGGGCGTTTCCCATTAAAGGTAGTTTGCACTGGTAGTCTGCTGCATTCAATACTCCCAGAGAGACGTTTCCCATTAAAGGTAGTTTGAACCAGAGGCGTCGACTTTTGAAAGAGTCCTCATGGGTGCAGAATAACTTTATAAATTTATCTAAAGGGGGAGGTTGAAACTCGCCGGAGGCGAAAAATTTATTCTACGAGCGTGCGGGAAGTGCTTTTTTCTGCACGCATTTAGACCCTAGTGCAGAAAAGTAAAATAATTATGCAATGTTAAGTCACCCTGGTACCTTCATGTCATGAAATGCGTGCGGAAAAGTACTTCTAGCCCAAGTAACACATAATATGGGGTAAACATCGTTTTTCAGTTGGGCCAATATTTATTCATTTTTGTTGCTAAATCAACACGGTACCAATATTGGGGCAACGTTAGTTTTAACTATGTGGAAACAATATTCAAAAATAATCTTGTACCAATATTGTTTTCATAGATTAAATAACTTTTCAATAATTTGAATATTGGCCCAAGACTTCTCACTACAATAATGATTTATGAAATATTGGCCTAATCTTACATTTTATATTATCGAAACAATATTGTAATATAATATTAATTCAATATTGGCATTCAATTTTTTATTGATATTTAAATTCACTTCAAAAACTTTGTACACCCAATATTTATTTTCAATTTTTTCACAATATTGATACTTTTTGAAAAGCCCAATGAAGAGCCAATATTTACATACTAATTTTTACCAAGGTTAGATTTTCTGAATTGAAAATGTTGGTCCAATATAGGGTATTAAATGTGCGCTTTTGGTGTGCCGACCAAAAAATAGATGGAGACTCTGTCTTCACTTTACCTGTCTTAAACCTGGCTCCGGGATGAAGCCAAAAATTGGTTGTTTTCTCTCTGCGGGACCCTGGCAGGACTTAACCGTGCTGATGAGTTGTGATACAGCAAAACGGGTCCACGGATGGTCCGGTAGAGAGAAAACACTTCTTGGTCGGTCCTTATAATTGGTCCGTTACCTTAATTAAATATAATATAAAGCCAAGATTTACATACGTCTTCGGGCCAATATTGGTAATTTCAATTGGGTCTATATTGCATAAAGTTCTTGATATGATATTGATTATTTCCTTTTGCGCCAACATTTGGTTACGTTATTGTACCAACGTTGGTATTTGTTTTTGGGTATATATTGACATACGTTCTTGGACAAATATTGCAGAATGTCCACATCTTTTATTGGGCCAACATAGAGAATCTGACTTGGGCCAATAAATCGTAGTTATTGTCCCAATATTGGCCCAACATGGGAGTGCTGCTTGGGAGGTACGGTCGTAAAAAAATAACTTTCCTTAAGCATGCGGAAAATCTCTTTTTCTACGAGCGTGCATTTTTTATCACTTTCCCGCACGCATTTTAGTTCCGAAAATGTCACTTTCCCGCACTAGTGCGGGAAAGTGGACCTTTGTGTTTTTACCTTTGTGTTTTTATTATTGTATATTTTTTGTGTGTAGTTAACTTTGGTTAGTTGTTAGGCAAGGTTGTGGAGATAAATAATTTCTTTTTTCTACGAGCGTGCATTTTTTATCACTTTCCCGCACGCATTTTAGTTCCGGAAATGTCACTTTCCCGCACTAGTGCGGGAAAGTGGCGTTCAGAAGTGTCAGTTTTGTTAATTAATCAAACATTTTATCAATTTTGTCTGCATACATTTTTGCTATTTTAATCCATTTTAATCTAATTTGTGGATCTTTCAAAAATTTTATAATTTTTTTTGACATTGTATACAGATATGGTTTTTTTAACGTTCCCATGACGCCGTGCGCGAAATGCTACTTTATATATATGCTACTTGTATATATACTTGTATATAAACTTGTATATAAACTTGTATACCGGGTGACAATGAAACTACTACCCACGGCGGCATTTCTTAACGGCTCGAGATAGAAATATGCATTTCGGTTTGTTGATAGGGTTGAAAATTGTGAACAATTTTAATATAAAAACAATTGAATGTCTTATCCGGTTTCACCGAAAATGGCAATGACTTTGTTATTTTAAATGGGACACCCTGTATATTTTATTTTTTTTGGACTCCCTGAACAATTCTATATACCTTTTGTCTAACATAACCTATGTCAAAAATTGATAGTTTTTGAAATAGAGTGACTCAAAAATATGTCATAATTCCTATTTGTTAATATTTTACGTAAAAACTGCCATTTTCGGTAAGACCAGAAAAGGCATTCAATTGTTTTTATATTAAAATTGTTCACAATTTTCAACCCTATCAACAAACCGAGTTGCATATTTCTATCTCGAGCCGTTAAGAAATGCCGCCATGGGTAGTAGTTTCATTGTCACCCGGTATATACTTGTATATATACTTGTATATAAACTTGTATATATACTTGTATATATAATTGTATATATACTCGTATATATACTTTGTATATATATTTTTCTTTGGAAGGCTTCCTGTATATATTTATTATTCACAACCAACTGGTATGACATAAAAGTTTGTATGCATCACGGGTACTAATAGATATGTAAACCCTCGGGCCAGAGGCACTCGGCTTTGTAAGACTGTCGCCCTCAGGGCATAATCATCTACTTAGTACCCTTGATACATAAATAACTATTGTAATTCAACTATTTCTTCAATAATATATCGCTTTGGATTTACTAAATTTTTATTTTTATATTTGATCGCGCTCGTAGAAAAAATAATGTTCCTTACTCATGCGGAAAGTGTCTTTCCCGCACTCGACTGCTTGCCCGAACTCCGCTTCGCGTCGTTCGGGTCAACGGCAGTATCACTTTCCGCACTTGTTAGGAAAATAACTATTTCCTCATTTAATTGCTAGGCACACGCCTTAACTGACGGTTTGTTTCATTTTAGCCGCCTCTGTCAACTGTCAGACTGTCACTGTCAACCAATGAACTATTATTATAAAAGTTCCGATATATTGATAAAAATATATCGATATAGTTTATTATTATTATTTTTTTTTTTGGGGTTTGGTTGGCTTTGCACATAGTACATACAGCCACTACAATTAGCATAATATAATACAATGATGTATGTAATTATGTGTTACAAATAATAGTATATTATATACCTAGGTAGAGAAGTTGGTCATTATATATACCGAGCGCTTTTATAAACCGAGGCGCAAAGCGCCGAGGTTTATAATGCGTGAGGTATATAATGACTTTCTCTACCGAGGAATATATAGAATTTTTTTTACTACTGCTAGTAGAAAATAAAAAATTTGCTTAAAATCTGTGCTCTAATTATTTTTTTTGAACGCCCTCTTGAAAGTGCTGCCCTCTATCAACAGCTTATGATAACTTCCTATGTACCTACAGAAACCTTCTCATGACCTGTCAAGCGAGATTCAATATGGAAGTTCAAGTCAGACACCCTGTTGTTTACAATATGGTTATTGACAGAAATCAATAAAAAATTATTATTTTGTCACATTCTGGACATTAAGGTTTGACATTGGCATTGTCATATTGTCATGTTTGGCATCTACAACAACAAAGGGTCCTGAACAAAAATGCTTTTTTTTATGAACGTCA